CACACACACACACACACACACACACACACACACACACACCAGACGTTGCCATCATGGTGAAACCAAGCCAACAGTAGCTCATACTCTCTTCTCTAAAAGGGTCTGCACCCATTTTCTTCATATGTGGAAGCAGATTTATTCATTTATATATGAGTGAGAATTTATTCCATAGTGGAAATCTAAATATTTTAAATGCTTTCTTTTGCTCTTATAGTATCCTCTTAGAATAACAAAATTTGAGGTTTGTGAAGAAATCATATTGTAACAGATATAAGACTAAAATGCGATTTTACTGGAATATTTAAACATAATTACAACATGCATAACCATCTAAATTTTGCATACTTACATACAAATCTCAGAAAAACACATATGTATTAAAGGTGTGAAACCAAAGAATTATGTATGAATTTTTTTAGTTATATATGAATTTATTAATAAAAATTATTTAATTTTCAAATTTTGGTAGCCTTCAAGTCAATGCAGACAAGATTTAAATCCATAATGATTTTCAAGCAATAGATATATAAATGTTCAGATTTATAATTAAAGTGGAAAAGTCTCAAAAGGCAGAGTGATATTTGGAAACAGGAAGCACAACTGCTGGGACAGATATTTTCTTTATTCTAAGCTGGTCAATAGAACTGCAAAATTGGGAATTGGTACTATGGACTGCGCAAGATGTGCAAAAAAAATTTCCATGTTTTATTTTTCAATTGACCTAAGAATATTTAAATGTGTGGGGGTGGGGTTTAAATTCAAAAGGAAAATAGTACATGATCCCTTTGCTTTTCCCTCACCACCTTCTGACAACACATCCGTCCCCAGTCTTAATCCCGGAGAGCCTGAGATTCCTGGGCAATTCTCTCTTTGCTCATTAGCACCAACTACTGAAATTCCTGGTTCTGCACCATTCCTAAACACAGATGGCCACCCACACTACTTACTTGGCCTTTTCCTTTTCCGATTGGCTTCTGGTAGAAGATGCGTGTTCTGTGGTCAGTCCTTGACTTTGTCAGGCCAGACAGTTAGTTCTCTAGAAGCAAGACTCAGCTACCACAAGTCATGTGGTTGAACGATGACTTGGGGAAATAGTTCAAGCTTTCCACAACCCGCAGCTCACTCTGTTCAACAGTGAAGATGGAAGGCCTGATAAACCATCCAGAGAGGCCACAACCAGGTACTTATCTTGAACGCTAGTTTCAATATTGTTTTCATAAAGGAAGATTTTCATTTTCAGGCTTAATGACTTCACGGACATTTTTCCTATGGAAAAGAAGAATGTGAAGTGTTATTTCACGTGTTGTCTCTTTGTCTTGCTGTTATGCATTACCCCGGAAGTTTCACACTCAGAAAAACAGTGACACTGGGGAATACTGTTTCTGAAATGACCTCATGATCAGCGATAAGCTCAAAATATTTCTATCTCCGGCTCCCTTTCTTTATTCATTTCCAGATGGAGATATAATTCCTTTGACCCACTGGAGGTGCAAACTCAACAAAAGGACTCCTATTTTTCTCTAATGTCTTTTGTTTTCTTACATCCTGCCCTAATTTCACAATTCTTTTTGACACTGATGAGATAACCAGGCATAATTTTTAAGGAAGTATTCAGTTTAAAACATGTAAAGATGGCAAGACCAACATGCTTTAAACAGTTTCAGGCAAAATGAACCCCAAATCACATTACCATTCTGATGCGGGTATGCTTGAAGGCCCAAGCTCTATTGCCGGTCATGCAAGCTCATTATGGTTTGCACTCAGTGTGAACTGATAAAGTTCTCATTAGGAGTTGAGGATTGTTTCCACCTATGCCATCTGCTGCATGATTATCCAGCAGTGTTTGTGACCACAGAGATAGAATGCAGCGAAATCTAAATGCACTGGAGCCATATGCTTAATGGTCTCAAGGAAAACTGGATAAAGGAGAAAACTTCAGTTTGGATTATTAAACGCAACTGCGTGCCAACTCAACTCGGTTGGAAAATAAGTTCATGGATCCAATTTTTTAACCCATTTAAAAATATGTCCTTTAATCAAATAAACTCAAAAATATAAAATCTGCATTATAAGTTTGGATTTGAACACAGTATCTGACAGTTCTCATTTTTCAGATGAACTGTGTTCCTGAAATCCGTAGGAAAAAGTATGTTCCCATAGAAACCATGCTATTTTTAGGGGTTGCTTTTCTGATTAAGTGGTAAAAAATCAGATGTAAGTAACAATGGAGAGTCAAAATTAAACTCAACTATAATTTGGAACTACAGCCTACACACAAATTAATTGCTCATGTTGCTATCATAAATATTTCAAAATACTAAAATGCATGTATATTGCATTTACAGCACAGTTTGAAGAATACATGCATGTTACATTCCTCCCTCCACAAGACACCCCCCCCACTCAGAATTCAGATATTTTTCCATGCAAAGTGCCTAGGGCTTAGAGAGAAGAAAAGAAAAAACAAAATTACCAATAAACAGAGTCTTATTTGGCTTGTTTAGAAGTCATCTTATGCAAGCTAGTCAGCGTGCAGAGTAGCACTGTTGAAAACATCCAACTTTCCTCTAGTTCTTTAATGCTTTCTCCCCCCGACTATCATGATCCCAATTCCATGTTACAAATCCAGCTAGACCAGAGGATATACATGGGTACAGATAAGAGCTGGAAACA